GCGGCGCGGACGCGAGTAGGCGTCGGGGCCGGGTTTGGGGGAGCGACGGGAGGGCGCCTCGGCTTGCATTCACGTGACCGGCGGGGAGCTTGGGGTTTCGGTAGCGAGACGGGTGGGCCCCCGAGGGCGAGGCGAATTGTCCGGTCCCACCCCTCGCAGGCCTACAAGTCCCAGCAAAGGACTTTCCCTCGCCCTGGGGCCAGATCCGCCGCGCCACTTCCCGGACCAGCTGGGTACTTCGCGGCGGCCCGTCTGACCGCGGGAGCTGACCGGGGTTGTCTCCCCCGCAGGGCCACGGCGAAAAGGTGAGAGTCCGCGCTTTCCGAAGGAGCCGCGCCCGCCTCGACCCGCGCCCTGCGGGGCCCTACCGCACCCAAGGGGATGGAAAGGCGCCCCCGAGGCCCCTGCACGGCCCGCGATCCCACGCTGGCCGGCCCTCGCTAGCTGCTCGAATTTTGCGAACAAGGCCACCTAGGCCTTGTCTCCTGAATCAGTGGCGTTGTGGTTCTAAAGAAATGGAAGAAAAGGAGCGATGTGACAGATTCCATTTGGCCCTCCTGCGTTGAGGCCTGGTTGGCTTTTGCAGAGAGGAAAATACAGCAAGAGAATCGTGGTTTTTTGGAGGGGGGGTGGGAGGGAGGGTGGGAGAAGGGAACAAGGTCTTAGATTTTATACGATTTTTAAAAATTCTGTACTTTGAAAGTGGTGGCGAAATACACTAATCCAAAAGTTATTTTTCTATTGAGAAGAGAGGAGGTAGATTGTTTTTCCTCTTGATTCCAACCTTTTCTCCCCGTGACAAAGCATAAATCATGGACACCAGAAAATAAGGTGGACCTCAGGAATCCTGGAAAGACTGAGAAGCTTACATTCTTCCTCAGGAGGGAGAGGAAAATAGCAAGAGAATCGTGGTTTTTTGGAGGGGGGGTGGGAGGGAGGGTGGGAGAAGGGAACAAGGTCTTAGATTTTATACGATTTTTAAAAATTCTGTACTTTGAAAGTGGTGGCGAAATACACTAATCCAAAAGTTATTTTTCTATTGAGAAGAGAGGAGGTAGATTGTTTTTCCTCTTGATTCCAACCTTTTCTCCCCGTGACAAAGCATAAATCATGGACACCAGAAAATAAGGTGGACCTCAGGAATCCTGGAAAGACTGAGAAGCTATTTTATACGATTTTTAAAAATTCTGTACTTTGAAAGTGGTGGCGAAATACACTAATCCAAAAGTTATTTTTCTATTGAGAAGAGAGGAGGTAGATTGTTTTTCCTCTTGATTCCAACCTTTTCTCCCCGTGACAAAGCATAAATCATGGACACCAGAAAATAAGGTGGACCTCAGGAATCCTGGAAAGACTGAGAAGCTTACATTCTTCCTCAGGAGGGAAGGGTGGGGTGTTTTTAGCCCTCTCTGGAACCTAAAACGAAAAACATGAGTTGCGTGCCATGGAAAGGAGACAAGGCCAAATCTGAATCATTGGAGCTGCCCCAGGCAGCACCCCCACAAATCTACCATGAGAAACAGCGCAGGGAGCTCTGCGCGCTGCATGCCCTCAATAACGTCTTCCAGGACAGCAACGCTTTCACCCGGGAAACGCTGCAAGAGATTTTTCAGAGGTAGGGAACTCGATGCTTCTTGGCATCTTGATACTTTTTACTATCTGAATTTCTGTGGGCGGGGCGATGTCTCAGCTACAGAGACTTTCACAACCAACAAGTATTATCAGCTAGGTGCCGTTAGCAGATATGAGACAGAGTAATAGAAAGGATAATCACTACCATTTATTGAGCACTTACTGTGGACTAGGCACTGTGCTGAGTGCCTCAGTGGTGTCATCTCAACAATTCCATGGAATATGTGTTGTTATTTCCATTTCATGGATAAAGACAGGGCTCAGAGAAGTTAAGTAATTTGCCTGAGGCAACGAGATGGAGCCTAGCTTGAATTCAAGTTTGTATCTGTGCTGTTGACCACTATGCTATAATGCTTCTGACGTCCTGCCCCCAAGGAGGTTACAGTCTAGAAAGGGACAGGATATGTACACGCTCAGTCACCTGTTATCAGAAGTGGAATGTTGTGGGTTCCATGAGAAAGGTGAATACACAATGCTCAGCTTTTCTATGAGGCCATGTGCTGGCCTAGGTGCTTTTCCTACACTGTTTTGTGTAGCCCTCCCAACGATGTTTCACCTCTATTTTACTGATAGAGAAACAGGCAGAAAGTTCAGGTAATTTGTCCAAATAGCCTCTAAGTAGCAAAGCTACATCGTGAAGCTGACTCGATCTCCTCCCTTTTCTATTTCATTCTAGGTGCCCTTTCTTACTCACTTTGCCAAATGCTACCAGACAGGTGGATAGAAGTTCAGCTTTTTTCTCTCTGCTTTGATGTTCTAAAATTATTTGATCAAAGGGTTTGAGAATTAGTTCTGCAGTGTCTGGATGGAAACAGCAGCCTGTCTGCTGTCCATAGCAACTCTGGCAGTGAGCCTGTCTCATTCCTCCAGCTCCAAAGTGTTAGGCTTGCTCAGTTTTCAGTGCAGAGAAAGCTCAAGAATTTTCAAGCTGTGCATATTGGTGGTTCCAGAAGGCTCTTTTCTGACTCCTTTCACTTAGAGATGTAATTATGGCCCCAGAAGTACCTGAATTACAGCTGGAAACAACTTATTTGGGATGATTTGTGAAGCATAGGTGTGGACCACTTACCCCGAAAGAAACATAGCCCCCTCTTAAAAGAATGTTAATCCCAGTGTGCCAACAAAATTATAATGAGGATAATCATTTTCCACTGCCAGTAATAACCATAGTAATGCATTAGCAGGGCAGATGTGGCATTTGCATCATGGCCATTATCTGGCAACCAGAATTAACTCTCTTGAGGAAATGGGGCCCTGTTAGGTGAAATAATGTGTCTCGGATCACCAAGTCATGTAACCAAAAAGATTAGAAACAAGGCCAGTCCATCAGACTGTTTCCTTTTGGCCAGCCGTTAATACTTTTTCTAATTCCTAATTGGATATTTGCAAATTATTTCCTAACCTGAGACTAAGGAAAAAGGAAAGGAGTGCTCAAATGGGCTGGTACCTGGGAATGTGTAACAGTCTTGGCAACAGCCTTATCAATAGTGATTCGAGGAAACTAGGATTCAGTTTAAGTAATTTGCCCAGTTTTACTCACTAGTAAATTTCAACAGTCAAGATTCTGTGTGTCCATTCAGAAGATTTTCACGTCTACAAATTTGGCCCCTGACCTGACACAATGACGATCGCTAACAGATGAACACTCACTCTGTGCAAAGCACAGTTCTGAGTGCTTTCCTTGTGTTAATTTACGCCTCACACTGATCTTAAAAGGTAGATTCTGTTATTTCCCATTTTTCTAGATGAGGAAATCATGGCAGAGAGAGTTCACAGAGCTATAGATGGCAGGATTTGGACCCAGTTTTTGTGACTCCAGGGACTGCCCTCCCAACTGCTCTGCTGCTTCTCGAGTGTTGGAAAGGCATGTCAGAACATTATATCGTCAGTACCCGTTCACCCTGCCAGTAAGTTGGGACTGGGTCCGAAGAAGATGTGGACTGTGATTATAAGCTGGCTGTGGATAATAGCAGGGCTCTTTCATCTGTGTTTTTCCTGAATGAAAGAATGCTAAATATTTGCTAAACACTCGTATGGAACCAGAGTACTATTCCTGGCTTTTAAAACTTTAGAAGGTGTGCTACACTCCCCAGTTGCCGAGCAGCTCAATGTAAAGATCCACCTTAAAGTAAAGCAAACCAGTATATCAAGAGAATATACTGTGTCCCCACTGCAGAGGCAGAATTCTATGCTGTATATATATGTACATATTTATAGTATTTATGGAAAGATTCTCTGTGGACAAATAGAAACAAAAGAAGCATGAAAAGGGAGCAGAGGGAAAAAAGCAAGGGGAGAAGAGGTGAGAGAGAGAGAAAAAATGGAATCTTTTAAACAAACATTTGCCGGCTGCCTACAGTGTGCCAGGCACTGGTAGGCACTGTAGAGAAAACGAGTTGAATAGGACTCAGCCTCTGAGAAGTACATCTCAGAGCTATACATTGACCAGGACTTGGGAGTAGATTAAAGTTAGAACCATGAAATCTAGAGCAATTTAAAAGGAAAAGATGATCTGTTTGGGTCTTAACAGAAAGAACAGTAATGTTGGTAGGTTTAACTAGATAATTTTAAATTCTCAGACCTAAAGCTCTATGCTGAAGATGTGGCTAATGAATGGTAGAAATGAGAGAAAATTTTTTATTAATGCCATTTGTTGAGAGGAATTTCATCCTAGCAGTTGAATTTTAGCCAAATAAAAGAGGAGAAATACAAAAACAGGGTGGAGTTTCAATACAGTTGTGGACATGAGATGACTCATATTTGGAATAGAAATGAATGTGAACTTAGAAAGAACTAAGCTAATGACTTGGCAGCAACGTGGGGATAGGGAAGAGAGGAGTCAGAGGTGTGACAGGCTCAGTCCAGGATTAGGAGATAGTGGTAGTATCTGCAGTGATAGCAAAAGGAGGTTTGAAAAGCATCAGTTTTCAAGATGTGAAATTAGAGAACAGATCAGAAACGAGGCTCGTGTCATCAGTGTGCATGTATATAGATGGGGATGTTTGATCCCATTTTATCGTATATGTGTTTATGCTTTGAAAAAGAAAGAACCTAGGAGTCAAATGATAAAGTAGTAGCTTTGCTAGGTCGTTTTGAAAATCTTTTGGTCTCAAACATTTTCACTAGATTCATCTCTACTTTTTATTGATCAGCTGTCCTCGCAGCTAGGTATTTGTTCCCCTCCCAAATAAAATACCTGTTAAAATCTAAATAGATAGAAACTAGCTTGGTACCGGGGGAAAATGGAATGCAAGCTGGGACAGAGACTATCGAGACTGGTGCACAACCAGCATTCTCTACCATAGAGGGGAAGTCCTCCTGCCTCCCTATTGAAAGGTCCTTGAGCAAGTGGAAGGAGCCACGTTTATAGGCATGGTGTTTTAAATTGAGAAAAGGTGGTGTTGGGTGGTAACCTTTGGAGATTTGAATTATCTCATCCAAAAGTCAGGCAAGCACATCATCGTTGTCATCATAGCCAACACCTACAGAGTACTTCTGTATGCCCGGCCCTATATTCCGTGCTTTATATATTTAATAATTTAAAGACATCAGGAAGTTCTGAGTTATATTTTCTAATATTACATCTCTTCAGACCTGATAAAAAGGAAAATAATAATTACAGAAGGAATCTTGATGAATGTCTCCATCTTTTTATTAAAACGTGAACTCACTGCCATAGCTAGACACAGTGGTAACCACCAGAGAGGACCTGGAACTTACCTGAGGTGTGAGACCTGGACTAGAGCCCATCTTCTCACTTGTAGATCAGGGGTCCAAACTCCCCTTCCCCTGCTCCTCAGCACCGGCATCACCGCCTCAGCTCCACCTCAGATCATCAGGCTTTAGATTCTCATAGGAGCACTGGTCCCTGGTGCCAAAAAGGTTGGGGACTGCTGTGTAGATCACTTCAAATCTCATGGCTCTAACCTCTGGCCATGATGACAAAAGTGAGAAGCCTGCCTTGTTTTATGGTCCGGAATTTCTAGCGAAATCATTAAGACAGTCTAGAACAGGAGTTTGCCAAGGAGCCTCAAGAAAACAATTCATTGGAACAGAACGGGATCCTATGGAATTCAGTTTGGGACCAGTGTGTCGAAATATCCAGGACACTGTTCAGCGTAGCCTTAGTCTATTCAGAGCTGGGAGGTTGAATCCTAGCTCTGCACTTGCTAGCTAGGTATGACTGGGCAAGTCACAGTGACCTAGTCACACCTCAGCTTCCTGATTTACATTATGGGGTTAATCTCTCAAGATTGGTGGAAGGATTAAATGATAAAATTTATAAAAGTAATTAACAGTGGGCACTTAATTATTGTTAACAGCGAAGCAAGTGCTGGTATCGTAGGCACACTGGGCAGACGCCACTTATTTAAATGACCACCTCTCTAGGAATGAGATGGAAGCCATTCTCAGCATGTCCTGCATTCATCCTTTTGGCCAGCACGTGGTTTACTCAGTTGCCAGTGCCTAGTTGTGAGGGATACAGAGCAGAAGAGCCATTTCTTTGGCTTTAGGAATTTACTGTTCGGACACGTATAAAACAACTGAATTTTTCAATGATCCTGTAACAGCAGTCCTTCCCATTTTTACAGAAAAGCTCACGGACGTGGAGGTTAAATCTCACAATTAGTATCAGTGCTGCTTAGATGTGAACTTAGATACGTGTGGTCCTCCGTTTCCCTCCTTTCTTGCTACAAGGGAGCCAGGAAAGATTCTATGGAGGAGGTAGGATGCCAGGCTAAGCCTGAAGAAGCTTTAGGATTTGGCTTGGAACAGAAGTAAGATGAAAAAATAGAGGCCACGCAGTGGCCTGAAGTGCACTAAGCCCAATGAGGGGGGAAACGGCAGGCTTAGTAGGGCTTGGAGGGTGGAGCTGGCCAACCAGGCAGTTGGCTCCCTTGGCAGTTCTTCCATAAAAGAGCGGAATGATGCCTTGGTGAATGTGGCAGGAACATACAGGTGACTTGGAGTAAGTTTGGAAGCAAGGAGATCAATTTAGGAACCTGTTTCAAAAGTCCAGGTGTGGGGTGACGGGCCTCTAGTTGGGGGGGTGAGAGTGAGGGTAGACAGGAAAACATTTGAACCTGAGATAGAAGATGTAGGATGGGAGAAGAGACCCTTGGAACACTAGCCCTGTAAAGTGCACCTCCAAAAATGCGTGGTCAAATATGTTTGGGGACTGAATGATACTATACCCCATCTCCTCAAGGTGAATATTAGCATATTAGGGGTTCCGAGAATTCTTGTAGGAAACCTGTTTTCTTGATTCATTGATCTGTCGTATTGAATGTCTCCTGTGATCTTCTGGGAACACAGTCAGAAAAGTGCGGCTCTAACATCTGAGCCTGGTCAGATGTTAAAGAGGTGGAAGACTGAGCAGGTTCTTTGTTGGAGCTTTCATGCATCTGCCGGCTAGGGACTTCACTGAAAGTAATGACAAGCTATTGAAAACATGGCGAAGGGAAAGGAATGTTATATATCTTGAGCTGCTCTTTCATATGCTTTCATATTTAATCCCCGTGCCCAAGAACCCACTGAGAGCCTTTGCACTGTTAAGCTACAATTTAGGCCCAGACCCCAGGGACTCAGCTGGCCATTCCTTTTATCAACTGGCCAATACCATCCACTCTGATCGTAGGTCCTAGACATAAGACAGGCACAACTTTGAATGCAGACAAACCCAAGTTTGAATCCTAGTTCTGTCACTTGTAAGTGATCATAGGCAAGTCATTCAAATTTCAGTTTTTCAAACCTATAAAATGGAAATAATTTATAGCTTCATAGGCTTACTGTGAGAATCAACTGAGATAGATATGAAGGCATCGGTCATGGGCTTGGCACAATAAATGGTAGTTATTGTTACAGAGAAAACAAAGTTGCAGAGTGGAATTTAGTGTCTTCAGACACCCTTCTTTGCCAGCTCTGGAGACGAACACATAAGCTCTTCTCATTTCATGGCTCCACTATCAATATTTACAGGAAAAGAGATAGGATAACAAACAGGAACATTTCATCAAACATTCCTTGAGCACCTGTCAGGTGCCTGGCAGTCTTTGGCCCTGGTGAGGTGGCATTAACAGGATAAAGAAGGCCCCTGCTGTCATTCTATGTGGAAATCAGACAAATGAGGAGACATGTCCAGTAGTGACATGGGCTATAACTAAAGCGGGTGGGTATAAGGGCAAGTGACTAGGAGAGAGCTAAGATTGGGTGGTCAGAAAAGGCGTCTAAGACAATAATACCTGACACCCAAATAATAAGGAGCTCGCCAAGTGACGATCCAGGGGAAGAGCATTTGAGACAGCCACCACCGTGGGTGAGTACAAAGACCCTCAGTGAGAAAGAGCTTTGTGTGTGCAAGGAGCAGAGGTCTGTGTGGTAAGAGGTGGAATGAGGTCAGCAGGATCCCAAGGGCCTGCAGGCCAAAGGAAATCATGTAGGTTGTATTTAAATGCTTTGGGAGCCATTAGAGAGTTAAGCAATGGCAGGAGTAGGTTTTATGTTTGAAAACTTATCAGTATGTTGGCTGTGTGTAGAGAAATTTTTTTTAAAAAACTTTTGATAAGATTTCTTAAGTTTTTAGAATTGACCTAAAGTCTCTGTTTTCTTCTGGAGATGGCATTTTTCCTCAAGTCCTGGCCTGATAAGCCTCCACCTGCCTCTAAAAGCAAAATCATAGGATTGGAGATGCCTTCAGACTGACAGTGACTTGAGATGGAGTGGCTAAAGAGGCCTGAGCAACAGTGGCTTTAAACTGGGTGGGCAAAGCAGACCACGTTGAGTTTTGTCTGTCTGGCACAAAATTTTTTTTTCAATTGATTATTTGTGTTTTAATATTTAAAAAATGGTTTTTTTTCCAAGATTTTATACACACATATATTTGGAATACTTTAGGGGGGCCAGGCATTCCAGTTTAATACAGGCATTGCTACTTTTTATGGCTTTACATCTGGCCCCAATTCATATATTTATGTCACCTGCCTGGGCTCTTGTAGGCCGTTGAGTATTAAATGATTAATGATTACCAAGTATGCAAGCCTTAAGTAGAAAACATTTAAACCGTAAAAAGCAAGAGTAACAATAAATTGAAATGAAAATTAAAGTATTGAATACTCATGCAAATGAAAATATCAAATACTATTTTCCATTGTGAAAAAAGAAGCTTGTATCAGGGCAGAAAAATCATCAAGCACAAAAACTGCAGGAGTGGATAGGCTGGGGATTTCATAAATGAGACTCCCTCATGGAACATTCTTTGTGTCCACTGTCTTCACTGTAGACACACTTTCTAAATCGTAGGCAAATAGGCCCCATCACTACTGAATTACTGTTTTGCATAAAGGTAATCTCTAAGGCAGTAAAAGCCCAGACTACAAAATACTTTGGTGAGAGCTGGTTACGGTTTACTGGAATGGGGGAAACAAACTTTTGGGGGCAGTTGTTTAAAGTGCTCTTTTGTCCCTGGTAGCGCAAGGCAAGGAGAGTTAGACCAGCCAAGTCTCAGCCCTCCTCCTTTAACATCTGTAGGTTATCTCCAAATACCATGGTGACCCCCCACAAGAAGAGCATGCTGGGAAATGGGAACTATGATGTGAACGTCATTATGGCAGCACTTCAAACCAAAGGCTACGAAGCTGTTTGGTGGGACAAGCGCAGGTAACCTGAAAGCTTGACTTGATGAGAACCAGCAGTCAGGGCTTGAATGGGGATGTGGGGGGCCAGCTGTGGTGTGGACAGCCAGGGAACCTTGTGGAGCTGGCGTCTCGCAGCCTGACAGTTTCTCTTCTGCAGGGACGTCAGTGCCATTGCTCTCACTAATGTCATGGGCTTCATCATGAATCTACCCTCCAGCCTGTGCTGGGGGCCACTGAAGTTGCCTCTCAAGAGGCAGCACTGGATCTGCGTTCGAGAGGTGGGCGGTACCTACTACAACCTTGACTCCAAACTGAAGATGCCCGAGTGGATTGGAGGCGAGAGCGAGCTCAGGTACCTGTGGTGGCTAATGTACTGCTGTGTCGGGGAAGTTGAGCTTTATTTTTGGTTATTTGACAAAGGAAATGAAATTCCTAGCTTTGGTTGTAGTTGGATCCTCCACCTGCCTTACTTAGAATCATAGGGTCTCAGTCTTGAAAGACCTGAAGCTTTGATGGCCCGTGAGGTTTAGTCCCTTTGGTAGAGGAGTTCCAGCGCCTGGGATGCTGGCCTTCTGTCTGGTGAGACTGGCATTGTAATGTTCTCCACACTTACAACCGTGACAGTATGGCTGCCAGTTCAGAGAAAGGAAGACAAACATTCAGGCGACAGAGGGTTAAATTTCCCTGGGATCAAAGAAAAAACTTTTTTCTTTTTAACAATTAGAAGTCCTTTACTTTAGAGTACTTTGGGCTGACTCTGTTCGTTACAGAACTAGCTACTGTTGGCAATGATAAATGTATGAGGAGCAAAAATTCAGATTGGAAATCTAACTGGACAGGATGAGGGGTATCCACAAGTGGAACAGATCCCTCTGGAATGTTTTGAGGACTGCCAAGGGAATAAATAATGAGGTTTCTGGTGAACCGGAATTTGCAGTTTTACCAGCATTTCACTTTCTCTTTCATCTGCTGTTTTTTCCCCACAGGAAATTTCTAAAACATCATTTGCGAGGAAAGAACTGTGAACTCCTGCTGGTGGTACCAGAAGAGGTGGAGGCCCATCAGAGTTGGAGGGCCGATGTGTAACAGTTCTACCCAAGCTTCCCTCACCTCAGTCCCCTAAATCCTCTGTGATGTGCTGTGGCCTATGCAGTGGGTCTGTCCTTGCCACTTCCCCAAACATCTCATCAGGTTTTTCAGATTTGACAGTGCAACAGGCCAAACGTGTGGGCTGCTAAAAGAACGAACCAGCGCTACTCGTTCCTAGGAAGGGAAGGTGAGAGCTGTGATCAGGGCAGGCGATGGGAGACCTTTTAGTTACGAGGAGAAAAGAAGGTGGGTCCTAGCTTATTTTCCCTTTTCCTGTGAGGACTTGACAGAGGCTCTGCTGGAGTTTACTGCTGCTGACTCAACCGGAGGTGCCGCCTCCACTTTCCCTCTCCTGGCCACTAGTGAGTCTGAAGGCACACTACATGCAAAGTGTGACTGACTTGAAAGACCCAGAGCAAAAGGGCCTCTCAGGAAACCACCTCCAACCCCAGCAGCACTACAGCTCCAACCCTTGATGCCCCCGCCTCACCCCGTTTCTAAGGGTGGTTTATGGCCATCTTTGGAATTTTATAATGAAAAGTTCTCTAATATTCCACACTGGGTGGTTGAATCCTACAACATTCTAGCATGACTGGGTGAGGTGGATACCTAAGAGGACATGGCCAAAGCCAGGCTGGGGCAGGTATGAGTGACCTGTCTGCCTCACTCCAGCATTGTCCCTGTCACTTCATTACATTGATTTAAGAGACTCTGGAGCACAAGATAAGCAAAAGGACAGTTTTCCCAGTTGACTCACTCTGGCAAAATCTGGAAAAAGTAAGTCTGCGTTCAACATCAAGTTTCATGAGTTTAAGACAGTTGGGTGAAGAAAGTATTATGAAGATAAGCTTCTCAGATTAAGAACAGCTGGAATCGGTAGATGTTATAGGCTCAGAGTCACTCTAGTGACAAGAAGCAGGGCCCTCAGGTTGGGTGGTTATGTGCATTGTAATAGGACCTGGGTTTGTCATCTTTCTGTAGTTTTCCTTCCAAACCGAGAATTGACCCACCCCAAGCTCTGTAGGCCACTTTTCTCTTGCAACTTTGGAAGCGAGGAGGGAAAGTATCATACCACACTCTGTGCCACCAGTGGTTGTGGTGCCTCAAGGCAGGTGGGCAGGCAGGGATGGCCTGTCTCGCCCTACAGGTCGGTGGTCTTGGCAGGTCTGAGAGCTGCCCCACTGGCCAGACTTTTCTCCAGCAGCAAAGCCAGCCTGGGGCTTGCATGTCAAACCTGAGCAAGCTTACCGGACGAAGCTGAGGCTTTCTCCTCCCCACTGTGACTGGAGTGCATGTTTACACCAGCACTTTTTCTGCACATGTATCTTCAATCCAACAAGGCCGTTTTTTTTATGCTGAGTAACAAGCCACCAAGCGGCTACTGCATTACACTGTCTCAGCAACTGGCTGCAGTCTCTTCTGCACCATTTTCTACACCAGACCTGCTTGGCACCACAGGGAGCTCTTTACCCCTGCACAATGACATTCCAACCACCACCAGCCAGAAGTTACAGCCAGCCTTGCTGATAGTCACAAGCAGGACCTTGGATCCATTGGCACTGTCAGTGATAGTAAGCCATTTCCTGGGAAGAGGAAGAAACTCCTCTCCACCAATCTGCTTGGGCTTGTGCAAATGGCACTTCAATGGGGTCTCCATGCACTTGGAGTCCGTGAGCCAATGGGATATGCAAAGATGCTTAAACATTTCAGGGCTGGTTTCTCTGTTCATATCCAATTCTGGTGCTTAGGAACAGGGACCCACGCTGATGCCCAAGGGCAAAAAGCCCATTTCCTTTAAGGAAAAGGGCAGGCCTGGCCCTGATGCCCAGTAAGGGGCAACCCTAGGCTTGTTTTTCTTGCTTTTATTTTCCCCTCTTTTTGTTGGCCTTGTGCTGGGTTTGTTTACAAAAGATGTATTTTGTTTAACCAAATATTAAAAATGGAGAACTCTGTACATGAATCTGTCTGCCTGAATTCTGTAATTATGTAAAGGGGGGGAAAATAAACTTTAGTGTGACGCTGCCTTTGAAGGAATTCACTACCGTCACAAATCATCTTTTAGAGATATGTCGTACTTTGGGGCAGCACGTGTCTTTCCTTCTAAAATGGTCTATAATTTCAAGGTGTGTATCTCAAGCACGTGCATGACACTTTCGGTTGGAATCATTTTTAATATTTAAATACAAAAAGTGAGCACTGACTTTTTTTCTTTTTAGACACACATTGGTCTAACAGCCAAACTGTGCAGAGGAAATGAGCTCCTGCCCTGCCCTTCACAGTCCCCATCCTGTGATGAAGCTGCTCCCGGTCCTCCCTCTTTTCCAACAAACGAATTCACAGTGGCTGCTTTTACACTACAGCTGTAATGCATTTTATATTTCATATAGCGTGCACATCCCTTCTCAGCATCTCCATTCTTCAAAATAGTTGTATTTAATGGTCATGGGTGCATCCTCCCCAATGGCATCAGTTCCTACCCCACAATGAGATACGGAGGTCTTCCAGTCAGGAGTAATTTAGTGGAAGAGGTGGGATGGCCAGAGCTGGAGTAACCGTCCGCATCGCTGTACTCTGCTATCAGAGTGAGGAAGAAGTAAGGACAGTGTGGAGGGCACAGTTGCAAGTTGGGAGTCTCTCCGTGAGACGATGCGGGGAGAATTCCCCCAACTAGGTTTAGATATATCAATGTGCCAAAGTTAAAAAAAAAATTCAGCAGTTCACACACTATTGAATTTTCAAACTTCTCCCACCAAGACAGGTCAAATATAGCAGTAACAATCTAGATCTTTCCAGGAAGTGAAGGTAGAGCCCCTGGCATTCCTCCTGACAGCCCTGTGTTAGGTCCTAGAAGTATCTGAAAAAGAAGAGGAGGAGTATAAGGCATTGTACAGGCCTAGGGATCTCATTTCCATCAATCCTGACTGGGGGACAGCACAGAACAGGGACCAGAGCCCAGTGTCTTCCCACACGTTAACTACTGGTCTACTCAGGTGCTGGAGAATTGAGTTGCATCTTCACCACTGGCAAAAAGCCCAGGGTCTTAGCTCACCTGCCGCTGCTGCAGTTGCTGCTGTTGCTCCATTTGCAACTTCTCCGTCTCAAAAACAACAGGAAGAACCAGGATCATGAAGGAAGTTGTCCCAATCCACAAGGCTGCCCTGGAAAACCTGCAGATGGAGGGGGAATGTGATAGCGAAGCAAAACCAGACATCTGCACCATGAACCAATCAGTATTCAAACCTCTCAGGCTGCATACTCCAAGGTTTTTAACAAGCGTATTCTACCCAGCCCTTATACCATACTCCTATCAGAAACAAGAGGAGCAGTTCTGGTAGCCGTGTCTCTAGTAATAGCTGTTTTAACATTCTTCTTAAAAAGTTACTTATGTGTTAATTATCTCACATAATCTGAAATGATTGTCGCAACGACACTGCCAGATAAAAATCCACACTTTACATAAGGAAATTGAGACTAAGAAAGGTTAAGGCACCACAAGCCCAAGGTCACTCAACGATCTAGATGGCAGGCTGGCCTCCAACCCAGATCTGCTGCTTCCAAGGTCCGTGTTCACTCACGGCCCCCAGTCACCCCCGCACATCCCAATCTCTTTGCCCTTGCCCCTTACCTGTACATTTTTTGAGCCACAAAGAGCGAGAGATCAAAAGTGGCTCCAGCCGCGGACCGGATCCTCTCCGGGAACATCTCCGTCAGACCCCAGAGTCTCTCCGACAGGGTCTCATCTAGCTGTGGTGGAGGAGGCGCGGGTCTTGACCGAAGCAGCGGCAACCACCCCCCCCGACGCTGGGACACGCACAGCTCCCCAACCACCCCGAGCCAGCGGGGCCCCTAACCCCGCCTCCCGGAGAAGACACCTCCGCTCCGACCTCTCCAGGCTCCGCGACGCACCTTCACCCGGATCGCACAGCACGCGGAGCCCACACCCCCGGGCGGGCCGCTCCCGCTCGGACCGTCGCTCCCCGCCCCGCCGCGCCCCGCAGAGACCCACTACCTCCTCGTCGTCTTCCTCTTCCAGCTCCTCCTCGGTCTTCTCGGCTTCGCCTTTCGGAAGCAATTCGTCCGGGGACAGGGGAGCCCCCGGACCAACGGCGGCGGCGGCAGCGGCCATGACTGTGGGGGGGAAGGGAACGCCGGAAACGGAAGGGAGGAGGCGAGTGCGGCGCTGATAGAGCTGCTCTTCCGGGAGCCGGAGATGGGGGGGCGGATTGGGGAAGAGCGACGCCCCCTGGCCGGCGGTCGTCGCCCGCCTTCAGCCAAGTCGGGTAGTGGTGTGGAGAGGCTTCGGTGGAAACAAACATCGAGAGACCTGCTATAACAAGTACAGAGTCCGGGTGCTTCCGCAGTAATTCTGTCCAGAGGGTTTAGGGTGGGCCCAGAAACCTGCATTTTAACAAGCCTCCCAGGGATCGCACTTAGAGAAACGCTAAACCAGTTTCGTTTTCCCTGAGTGCTGTGTCGTTTAGGAGTCTGTTAGAGATTTGGAGGGTTATTGGTCTTTTGGGAAACGTCAAGTAAACAGTCCCAATGTATCAAAACAAAGGCAAGAGTTAACACTGAGGTACTCAAGGACCAGGCATTGTTTGTTTGCGTCCTGAGGTACTATTATCCCCACTTTAGAACTGAGGAAATTGAGACACAGTACCAGGTTGCAGTATTTCTGGAGCATAGATTTCCAGAAATGGGTTTGCTATTGAGAAGTATAAACTTTAAAATTTTTGCTACATATTAGCTAATTGCCCTTGCAAATATATCATATACTGTTACAATAGTGAATGAAGTGTCTTTTTCCCCCACACCCTCCCCAGAATTACATATTATCCATATTTTAATTGTTGCCTATATGATGAAAATATTTTTTATAATGTGCCCCACAGTTATTTAACACAAGGGTAAATTGTTATACACTTTTAGCCAACTGACTGTGGAATCTGAGAATCTCAGGATTGGGTAGTCCAAATCCTTATCTGATGCGCCACAGTGTTGCAAGTGAGGCTCTGTCCTCTGCGTATTCAGGGGTAGAAGGGCTTGCACTGCCTCCAGATACAGCCCTCAGTCCTCTTCATCTTTGGACAAGGCAGTCCTGACTAGAGAGTTTTCATGCTTACTCTGATTCCATTAAAGTTCAAAAATGGGCAAAACCAGTCCGTGGGCATGATCGTCGATTCCCTTTGTAGAGGAGGAGGGGTAATATTTGGGAAGGGACAGTGACTTCTGGGGTGCTGCTTATAAAGTTCTATTTCTTGACCTGGGTGATGTTTACATGAATAATTCATCAGGTGTACATTTAAGAATTATGCTTTTTCGCATGTGTTAAACATAAATTAGGTTAGCTCTGCATCAATGTTAGGGCAGCTTAAGAGTCCAGTGTCAATGACTTTTAATTCTTTTATGGGCTCTTTTAAAAAATGTTGAAAGACCAACTCTTGAAGATAGAGAAGGCAATCTTACGTGGAAAGTGTAGGTATCAATGACATCAAGTGGAAAGTAACAATGTTAATGTGAAGAAGTTAGGAAAACTTTGACCAATTTATTTATATTCGCAAGAGCAACGTGATTTAAAAAAAAAAAAAACCTACGTGTACAGCTAAAGAGCTCTTTCGATAATCAAAATTGTCAAAGGGTAAGAAAAAATACTGAGAATCAGGCAGTGCAGAGTATTCAAAGCCTTAGGAGTAGATAATATGATCTAAAAATGGCAGAGTGGATAGGGAAGACAGAAGATAGAGCCCTGTGGAATCAAACATTTAAGGTCAGCAGGATACTGAGTCAAAATCACAGAAGAAAGTAGAGTGATGGTTGCCAGAGGCTGGGGGAGGGGGAAATGGGGAGTCGGTTTAATGGGTGTAGTTTGTTTTATAAGATGAAGAGAGTTCTGGAGATGGATGGTGGTGAAGGTTGCACCTTATGAATGTATTTAATACCACGGAACTGTGTTTTTACATATGGTCAAGTTGGTAAATTTTGTTATATGTATTTTGCAACAATCATTGTTTTTTAATTAAAAAGTTATAACAACTATTAAAAAAAATTCCTCCCCCCTGCCCAAAAAAAGTAAGGTCGGGGTGAAGGTGCCTCTATCCCAAGAAGTTCCAGGAGGAGCTGCTGGAGAGGAAGGAGGAAAACCCAAGTGTGGCTTCACTGAGGGTTTCAAGAAGAAATGCCCAATGGCAGCAAATATGGTAAGGCTGATGCAAGGCCAGGGGTCACAGCTGAAGGACAAGGGGACACGTAAGGGGCCACCAAGTGAGAGGTGATGCCCCATGTGGGAAGCACATGGGTGCAAAGGTGACTCTGCCTTTTGGATAGAGATGGGGTATTCTAGAACCCCGCTCCCTAGCCACTCATTCCACCTCCCCCTCGAGTCCATGATTTTCACCCTTCCTGTCGTCTTGTTGAATCTGAAACTAGTAAAACAGTAGTTCTTAATGGGTCGGTGGAGGGCATAGATCCCTTTGAGAATCTTACAAAAGCTCTAAGGCCTGTCCTCTGATAAAAAAACACCCAATAGCTCTCTATCTGTACAATTGTGCAGATGGATTTCTAGATCTCAAACTATAAAACTTCCTCTGATTATTGCCTGTAATCCTGTCCTCACTCCCTCACACCACAGAATGTTCTATTTCAGCTCTTCAGTAACAGTTCTTCCCTAATCTGACACTTGGCACAAAAATTCACAAAACTTTTAGTGATTACAAGAGATAATAAATGTCAACCAGATAGCACTCTTTACTTGGGTGGCCCATTAGTAGTAGTTTGGTTAATGAAGGCTTTGAGGAGGAAGAATTTCAACCAGAACCTAAAGGATGTATCTGACTAAATAGGTAAAATCTTGCAAGTATGTAGCATCTTAATGGGGGAAACAAAGTATTACGGTGGTGAGATATGGGTAATTTTCCCCTTTTCTCTTAGGGACTTCCATCAATAGGATTATCCTTGATGCAGCTCACAGCCTACGTCCATCAGCAAACACTGGTGGGCTCCATCTTTAGTTCATTTCTGGAATCTGACCACTTCACCGCCTCTACTGCCACCTCCCCAGTCCCAGCCTTGACCCCTTCAGTCTGTTCTCAGCAGAGCCTTTTTAAAAACAAGTCAATCATAGCATTCCTCTGCTAGAACTCACCAATGGCTTGCTTCCCTTATCACTCAAAATAAAAGTCCTTCACTGCAGAACTGTCCCACATACTGGCTGCAGCCCCATCACGTGCCAGTGGGGGTGTGGAGGGGGGTACACATCACTGTAACAACCAAATCTGCCCCCATGATTCTCAAGGGTTCAGTCCTAGCTCTATCTTTTTTCCAGCTGTGTCACCTTGCTGAGCTGGTTTCTTCATCTTCTTTAAAAGCAGGGGGTGATGACAAGCTTGAAGAATTCTCATGAGAATTAGAAATAGGTGTCTGGTATCAAGGGTGCTTGATAAATGGTTGCTAATTGATAGTGGTCTAGGAAGAAGCAAACTCTCAACTGCTTCTGTTATCTGCACCTGGAGATTTATGCCCTGCATATATCTGTATCCTTCTCCAATTTCTTCTATTATTCTCTATGTCGGAAAGTAAGGTTACGGGCTGGAGCTCCTATGCATCCACTGAGCGGGCCAGAAGGCTGGAGAGAACCAGCAGGCTCCGTCTGAGGCAGGGCCCCACCCAGCTCCTCTCTTTCACTTGGGCTGAGTCCACAGGCTCCTACACTTCCGCTCTCTGATCCTACATTTCGGAACCTCCCAGAGTCTGTTTCCCTGTCTGTGAATAGGCATACCGATGGCCCCTGCTCCACGGGGCTGAGCTGAGGAAATGTGTGCCAGGTCCTGGACCCTGTCCCAAGCATGTAACTGCTGACCATGGTAGCCATCCCTGGACTGAAGCCCTGGGCTCTGTCCCAACCCTCTGGGCCCTCCCCCTCGACCTTGGGAGCTGGATTCCCTCTGACTTTGGCCGGCTCCCTCCTCTAGCCAGAGCAGTTTAGCTCACTGACTCAGGCATGAATTCTCTCCCTAGGAATCCAGTCTCCACCCCAATTACTTGGTCCCTGCGGGATCCGGGCTCGTCCCAACTCCCCAGAGGAGGCAGGGGAACTTGGGCAGAGGGACTGTTTCTGTTCCAGGTCAGCCTTGCCAATGGCCAGGAAGCTGGAATGCATCTCCTGCAATGGTGCCATGTCCCATAACCTGAAAATTCTGTCTTTGGATAGAGCAAAAGAAGCTAAGACTCCAGGCTCCATTTACTTCTTCAAGAACTGATGCTTCTTTTTTCACTTTGCCCACAGATTATATAACATCATTTAATTAAAAAAAAAAAAAGTGTAAACAGGAAAGTAGCACAAAAATATAGTGTGTGGAAGGCTGATGCTTGCTACTGAGAAGCTGAAGCCAGGAGGTTGTGGGTTTGGGGTACACATACTCTTCGAAGGACGGAGAGAGTGGCCTGAGGGGCAGAGAACCAGGAGAGCTGCTCATGTGAGACCTCCTCACACAGGACTCTTTACAGCTGGTGCCACGCCCCAAACACCAATGTGAGGGGGTGGCAGGATAAACTCCAGCTGCTTCTCCCAACAGTGTCAGTCCAATGACGATGGACCAGGGACAGGTACGTTTGTATGTTCAGTGACTGGAGAGCACCCCAAGTCTTACCATCACCCCAGACCTCACAGACTGGCCTCCCGGTGCCATGCAGCCACAATACATTGCTACTTACTGCCCTGGCCTGGAATCCCTGGTTTTCTCCATTACGTTGTCACTTTCCTCCTGCCAACTCCAGGGTGCCAGTGCCTTCTGGCCCCATTATATGACACTCTCCCAGGACCTAATCCAATAGTTTGGCTATAAAACCCTCAGCTATGTCCTACTCCTCTGCTCAACAGATTTCTCCCTGTTCTCATGAATGTCTTTGGGGCCTTCATTTCCTCCTCCGACTGACACTCTTCAGTTCGTCCAATTCCTTCTCCATTAAATGGGATTCGGCAGTGGTCTCAGAGAGCTGAAAGCGAAACAGTAGACTGTTAGGACATTTCTGGGCTATAATTTAGGTTTGCACGGTCAGCCCTGTGCGCTGGCAAAGGCCCCCGGTGTTTCTCTAACACTGCCTGCCAGCCTCCCTGATGGAAACCCCTTTGTAACTGGGCAGAATGGAACCACCTCAAGTACTTGAAGAACACTCACAATCCACTCTCTCAACGTGTTTGACCACCTAGCATTGCATGGCACTCACGCGTTAAGGACAGCAGGCCTCGGGATGAAAAAGGCAGATACTGGCAATTCTAAGCTAAAGGATTAGTTGTTTCTGAGCTGTAGCTACCTTAATGGTGATTAGGGGAGAAAGTCCTTAAAAAAGAATGCCACTTTCCTCATCAGAACCTTTCAATGACCTCTCTAAAGCAGAGGTCAGCTTACAGTGAAGTAAGAGCCACGCTTCCTGAGAAATCTACTATTCCAAGTGCTTTACTAGTATTATTAACTCACTACGAGGTAGATCCTCCTATCATGTCTATTTTATTGCTGAAGAAACAAAGTTTCTTCACACGGGTCAGTTAAGTAACTTGCCTAAAGCCACATGGCCAGCTGGGGAGCTGGGCAAGGACGTAGACAGTTGAGCTCCAGTACGCGTGCTCTTAACCACCCCAGCGTCCACCAGCGAACGCTCTCCTGCCTCCCAACAGATCTTCACCCGCACCTCTAGGCCCAGCAGGCTGCTGGGTTCTTTGCAGCCACAGAAAACCAACACCAATGCAGAGAGTGCCCCTGGGCAGGTCTGTGCTGGGCACTGACTAATGCCTGCTTGGTATGGGGCATCTCCAAGCCGTGAGCAGGCTATCCTTCCTGGAATGCGTTCATCCCCAGCCTCCGGTCCTCCCTTTACCGTTCCACATTCAGCTCTACTATGCCTTCCTCTGTGATGTCTCCTGTCTCCCGTCTTGACAAAGTCCCTTTCTTTCATGTGCTGATGTTAGAGTCAGGCCCTGCAGACTCTAACAGTTGCCATTACCACGAGGCACTGTCATTACATTTACTGTCTCTCTCTCTGCTAGAATGTGAGCCCTTGAGGGTAGGGACTGTGTCTGATGTGGTGTTGTGTCTTTGGATTCGAAGCAACGTGCCTGGGCACACTGGCCCTCCAGATGTACGAGCTGGCCAGGCTGACCTGGGGTGGAGCAACCCTCCCGCACCTTCCTCACCATGTCCAGCAGGATGTCCACTTTCAGTCGCAGGAGGTTGTTCTCTTCCTCCAGCTGCTGGTTCCGCCGCCGCAGACGCTGTGCCTCCCTCCGGTCCACGCCCCCACTAATCCCTGTCTCTGGAGCAAGGACAGAACCAGCGTTACGTGGAGTTTTCTTCCCCAATCTTGTTGGACAAAATGACAGGAAATCAGCTCACCTGCTATCCACAGGCCATTTTCAAACTTCAGGCTCTGCCCCGCCAAGTTCATAGTTGGGGTTCCATAGTCGAGGCCCAGCTCCACCTCCCGGGTTGACCGATCCAACTGTGGGGGAGACACTACATGCTGGCTTCAGGGGGCCACAACCAGCACCTCTCCCGCTAACTATAGGATCCCAACCACTCATTTCTTTTCTCTAATCGTTACCCAGCACATTTGATAATTTTTTTAAGTCAGAAAATCAAACAAGGTACAACAACTTTTAAACTATAAGAAAGAAGAAATGTACTACTTTATAAAACAGATGTTTTCTGAAAAAGCTATGTATGCTGAAATTTGGACAATGAATTATTTTATATCTGTGAATAATCCTTTTTAAATATAGTAAGTCCTTAAGTTATCATTTGCTTATGGAGCTATATACAGCATGGAAAAAGTATAAAATGCCAACGCCCTATCAGAGGTAATAGCTGTTCTTTACCATGTTTTTCATGAGCACCTACCCTGCATCAGGACTAGTACTAGGTATTCAGAGATGAACGCGACCAGCTCTGCCCTCGAGGAGCTTGGAAATGATCTCTACAGCTGTGACATAGCCTTTTGAATGCCATTAGTAGTGGCAAAACATTATCCTTTGAATATGAATTTGATTCTTAGACATGACTAAAATCATTTTCTGGCCAAATCTTGGGCATAAAGTGAAGTCAAATTGGATAATAACATTTGGAGCCGAAAACCATAATGAGATTAACTGTCTTATTAGGTTCTTGAAAAAGCTTTGATGATGACTCCCAAGCAGGAGTTAAAAATGATTTTAGCAATAGCAATATGAATGGAAAGGATGCCCTACTACCTGGATGCCTCTGCAGGACCCCACTTCCCATCAGAGATCAGGCTTGACGCCCCCTCACGGCACACCAGGCTGAGCCCCGTACTGACACTCACATTGTGCAGGTTGGAGAGAGAAGCAGACTTTCGAGGGGGCGTCTTCTTCGGACTGAACGTATTCCCAAAGAGAGGCATCTTTGGCCTGACAAAGGCAAGGTCAATGCTCCCTTGTCCTAGGGTCAGAACAAGTCAGGGGCACAAATAGTTGGGACAGTGAGTGATCTTAGGCCACTGTCCTCAAACACAGAAATGTACATCTCATATATTCACAACTCCGGTAGTGGCTCCCACGTGTCGAGCACTATGTACCAGGCAGCATGCTAAAACCTTTGCAATATCTCAACTCTTGTAATCACCCTTTGTTTAGCCCTTCTCATGGGCCCCATGTGACAGATGAGATTTGGAAAGGCTAAGGTCCTAAGGGGGAGCTAGTATTTGAACACAGATGTGTGTAGCTCCAGAGTTTATGTTAACCGCAGGCATGTGCCTAACTCGCCTGTCAAGTTTTGTCACAAGTTGGCACCGCCAGCCAGATTTACAGTCTAGAGTGAGGAATGTAATCCCACTTCTTCCTGTACACTGGTAAGAATCACAGTAGGCAACAGCCTCTGCACATGTCCCACTTTAAAGAAATAAAGCTATACTTATACTTCACTTTCAGACTGGTAACAGTGCCCCTCACTCAGTCCATATGTCAAAGGTCACCTGTCCTGTATGGTGAGATGTCCAGTGGAAGAAGAAGGCCCATAACATGGCAGCCATACATTTGTTTACAGCATATTGCAACCTATTACAATTCACACAGGCCCAGCTAAGTCGATTTACTGACACTGCCCATTTGAGGGGGAGGAGGTAGGGAGGAGGAAGAGGAAATCTTTTAGTATATTTATGTATAACATAAATATAGAGAAGTATACAAATCATAAGTGTATGGCTTCACAAGGTTTTACTGAAACACACACACACACACACACACACTGTGTAGCCACCCTCCAGATCCGGATACAGAACATCTCATTGTCCCACAAGCTTCGCCCAACAGCTTTAGAATCATGGACTCATAAGGGCTGTCCCCATCCGTGTCTAGATTTTTCACTCAACATCATGTTTGTGAGATTTATCCATGTTGTTGTATGTAGCTGTAGTCTGTTTGTTCACATTGCAGTAAAATATTCCATTGCATAAAGCGGACACTTGAACTGTTTAGTTTTTGTATATTAAAAATGTGCTGCTAAGAATATTCTTGGACGTGTATTTCCATACACATAAGTATACTTCTCTGGTTCTAGCCCTACGGGTGGAATTATTGAGTCATAGAGTGTCCAGTTATTCAGTTTTAGCAGATACTGCCAAACGGTTTCCAATCTCTCCTCTTGCCAACAGTGTACAAGAGATCCTTGTAAGCATTTGGCATTTCCTATCTTTCTTATTTCACCCATTCTGGTAGGTATGTTGTGGTATTACACTGTGTTTAATTCGCTTTTCCCCAATAACTAATTAAATTGGGCACCTTTCCATATGCTCATTGTACATTTGGATACCCGCATTGGTGACATGCACGTTAAAGTCTTTTGCCATTTTTCTATTGGGTTGTCTGTCATTTTTTAAATTGATCTGTAAGAGTTCTTTACATATGTTGAATACAAGTCTTTTGTTGTATATATGGGGAATACTGAAAATATCTTCTCTCAATCTAGAACTTGTCTTTTTGCTTTCTTACTGGCTTCTTTTTGGTTAAAGAAGTTCTTAATTTTAGTGGAATCTAATTTCTCAAGTTTTTTAAATTAGTGTTTCTGTGTCCTATTTTAAAAATTCTGCCTACTCCAAGGTCATGATATTTTCATATATTAATTTCTGAAAATTTTACTGTTTAACTTTCACACTTGGGACTACAATTTGTCTGAAATTAGTTTTTGCATATGGTCTGAGACAGGGGTCAAGGTTCGTTTCTTCCCAATATTATTCAATTTTAACTTAAAATACACAAGTAGCTTAAAAAGATTCCTTCTAAGACTCTGTAGGCTGTAGGTAACAATGATGAAAGCATAAGCGAGCGAAAGAAAGTAAC